TTTTTTTGTGTGTGTGTGTTTTTTTTTTTTTTGTGCGTGTGTGTGTGTGTTTAATACAAAAAAACAGCAGTTTTATTAGGGCCCAGTGGCCAAGGCAGAAATACAAGGTCAAAGAGCTGCAGATTCAGGGGTCGCAAGGTCTCCAAACCCGTTTCATCGGGTGGAGCCCCTCCCCTGTGGAAAACCAGTCTTACAGAAGAAAATCTACCAAATTCCAGCCAAAAAACACCACAACAAAAATCCTAATTAGGGTTTCAATTAATTTCTAGAACCGAAGCACTACAAATTTCGTGAAAATTTGAAAAGCACCACAACAAAATTTGAAAATCTGTAGGTCGATACCCACCCGAACCCTAATGAACCCGAGCTTCCTACATTACACATAAAACAGTTTTTATTTATTATTGCCTAAAGTGGCAATCGGAACCTCGGGAAATCCCAAAAACTTGAAAGAAGTTCAAACAAAAGTTAAAAAACATTCATCGCCAACATATTCCAAGTAACAAGCAAAAATGACAGTACAATCCCTAATACACCAGCATATGAAAAAGGCAGATAAAAATTCAAACTAAACCCTAAACCCTAAGAAGGAAAACTAATATGAAACCGCCCAGAAGCAGCGGACGGGAAAGAAACCAGTGACAAACAAATTGAGCCGACACACCCTGAGCTCCTGGTAGTAACCCTTTGTCATACAAATCACACCTAGCAAGGAGCGCCTAACGTCGGCGCCGGCGCCGTCCGTGGTAAGAATCGGTGCTTGGATAAGGATAACATCTTATTCTCCCTACCGTTAGCAGCCAAACGCGGGCAACAATCGCCCGTCACAGTCTGACTTACGGGAAGCCGATTCACGGGCAGAGCATTCGTCATACTCCGCGACAAGTCTTCTCCCCTGGCCAATCGATGACAAGCCACGTGCAGCAAAGCAGCAACCGCAGCAGATACAGATGCCTATCATTGAACTCCAAGTGTTCCAAAACTGCCGATGTAAGCAACAGCGTGGTCCATAATTCAAATTTAGTGAAGTTTTTGGATATGACCCTGAGGCAAAAGTTGTTCAGTTTATTTTTCCGCATAACATATTTTTTCCAGAATTGTTTGATTTTTTTTTTTTTTCATGGCCGCGGGGTCGTGGCCTCGACCACACATGGCCGCCGCCGGGGGGATCCATAGGTTCTCTGGGCCCTCCGGCTCAGACGCTGCGAACTGGAAATGGACAGTGTCCAGATCAACGGCCAAGAGGTCGCAGAAACCATCCAACAACATGTACAAAAGGACATATAAGCACAATGGGAAGTGGTAAAAGAAACAAACAAACAAACAAAAAATAATAATAATAATAATAATAATAATTAAAAAAAATTAAAAAAAATTAGATCCTTCTTGGTTTTATCAAATGATGAGTGGTGTCTCACATCCCTTCCGTAGGTGAGAGGCGGGCCTCCCCAAGACTTGTTACGAACGGTCGGCCGCCAAAGCCTATCAGAGAAGTGGTAGAAGACAAGATGGCATTTTTACACACGAAAAAATATATCAGAAACCAAAGTAGACAGTTCTGCAATAACTGGCTGGCTGGGGCGGAGAACCAGGGGGGGGTAGATGGGTGAGGTGCAATGGTACTGGGGGCAGGACCGGGCTCGACTCATAAGGAACTACAAGCTGCTGTTTCATCCATGGACAGTCGTCAATGTATCGGTCTGGCTGCAGCCCCCGACGGATTTCCGTGACCCGGTGGCGTACTCTATGATGCACTCTTAGAATTTTGGTCAGCCATTTGGGGGGGGTGTCTGGCTATTCGTGGTCGTTTTGGTGGATCTTCGCTGAATCGCTGCTACTTGGAATAGTTGCTAGGCTGGAGTAGAAATCAGGCGCCCCCTCGAGGGCTGAAGAGGCCAATTCCCAATTCCCCATCTTCAGTATCATTAGGGGCATGCAGTGCCGGCAGGAAATGGACTGATTCTTTGGAAGGGACGCTGAACCCGGTTTCCACCAGGTGCTGCTCCCCAGCAATATCATCGGAGTCACAAGTGCTGGCCTGGTACCTAGAGGTGCTCATATCACCCGCGGACATCACCCCGAGCGTGATGTTCTTAAATAGATAAATAAAAAGGACTCTGCATGTGTGTCATCCACGGCATCTGTTAAAAGTGGAATGACACACAGAACGCGACAGAAGATTGGCATGGCCCTTGCACAAGGATGACGCATAGAACTCGAGAAATGGTCCACATTAAGCAAACAAACAAACAAACAGAGACTCCGGATGTGTGTGCAGAGGTGCGTATGCTGAGTTTCTGACTATGACAGACCTTTCTTCCTTGCGTTCTTGGGCTTGGATCAGGCCCGGTGGGGGCAGATAGAGAGAAGGGGGGCTTTCATAGCGGGATGTGCTAGGAGGGCTGTCTCATTGGGAGCGATGGGATTGTGGAAATCGGGGAACAGCTGGTCCGCCGGAGTGTACTTTGGCTGGGAACTGTATGCGTTTGAGAGAGTGGGGGTGGTTTAGGGGGCTTGCTCTAAACAGGGGCTGAGTAGAAGCTCGGGCTTCTTTTCAACACAGGCAGTAATTAGGACAAGGGGGGTGGTTTTCTTTCCTCGGAAGGGAAGGGGGTGACTCGAAGGAGCCGTGAGGGCAGTTTATCTTTTGGATAGCAGGGTGAGTGGGGCCGGCATCATTCGATGAGGGCGAGTCTTATTCCGTGGAAGGAGCATATTGGAGGGAAGTGTTGCGTCTGGGGGAAT